AATGGGATAGGTTGTCTGAACAATATTGTCCACACCATTAACAACACCAGTTTCCTCGTCGAACTCATTTTCAATCTTCCAGTCCAGCTCAGCTAGAACGGCTTCGTCCTCGAGTAGTCTCAATTCCTTCTTTGCGCTCCGCTCATGCTCTGCTTTGACCAATTCGGCTTCTTGTTGAGCCTTACTCTTCGCCAACTCAGCTTCCTCTTGTGCCCTACTCTTCGCTAACTCCAATTTCTTTTTTGCTAAAAGCATGGCTCTAAACCTTTCTTTCCGGGACGACGAAGAGGATCTTGAAGTAGTGGAGCTCTGAGACTGGTGCGACTTGTGACTTTTAATGGAGCGTTCATCATCACGTTTTTGTGTTTCTTGATCAGTCCGTATTTGGGTTTCGCATTCTTCTATTGTAAACATCATCTGTTCTTTGAGGGACTTGAACCTTTGCTGTACTTCTTGTAGTCGTTTGCTGTCACGTATGCCTGGCAGGTACTTCGAGTGTACAGTCTCAAAGGATTTCCAAATGATAGCTAAACGATCTACTATTTTGCGGGCGGACAAGTGCTCCCAATTAGTGTAGAGGAGAGTTTGGAGCTGCTGTGTTTCAAAGGCAACTTCTTTAGATTCCTTGTTCCACAAAGATGCAAGTCTGCGTTGTTCGCTTATTTCGCGTTGATACACAAGTTCACCAAAATCAATTTGAGTATTTGGTACGGGGTCCTGGCGTAGGGAGTATCCAACTGCTCCTTTCGCTGAGTCCTCAGGGTCCATTCCGCGATCCACTATCGCGCGGTCCAGTCCAGAGATTCCTGCGATTCCGTTCGGTCGGTTCGGAGCGTTCGTTTTCTCGAGAATCCAGGTGAAAACACAGTTTTCTCTTCGTACTTTGTAGAATTTTTCACAATGTTGGGGTCGACACAGAAATTTCGACGCGTTGATTGGACTATTAATCTGTCTTTAATCGCCAAGTTTCTCGTGCTTGGTTCGATCGGTGATCACTGGTCATGAACGGTGAAAACTGAACATAAAATAAGCAAAAATGACAAATAAACCTAAAGAAAACCTAAATAAACCTAAAGCGACACTAAAGAGCAAAACTACTTACATTCTGTGCGATGCAATCGATGAGAAATTCAAAACATTTGCTCTATAACACTACACTTGAAAACACGTGGTGATCTGCTTTTGCTGTGGTCATGTGACCATCCGAAACTAACATGATATAAGTAGTCACGTAGTGTCCAAAAGGGAAGTGAACGCAAAAATAAATCAAATAAAATTTGGACTAAACATTGGTTTTGTGGTTAGATGATGTCGTTTTCGCAAAAGGAGGCTTTTAGACAATAAAAATGTCATTTTCCTATAGCTGAAAAATTTGCGTATTTGCAAAGGTGTTAACCCATGATTCTGGTCAAAATATCCAAATATTTTCGAGCCTTTTTTCTGTAAAAGAGACTTTTTAATTTGGTTTTATTGTTCGATGATGTTCTTGTTTTTAAAGAAGGCTTTTTAGACTAGTAAAATTTCATTTTACTATAGTTGAAAAATTAGCATTTTTCCGAAGAGATTAACCCATGATTCTTTTCAAAAATTCCAGATATCTTTTGAGCCTACGTTCTTGTAAAGGAAACCTTGGTTTTGTCTTTCGATGATGTTCTTTTTTTAAAGGAGGTTTTTAGACTAGCAAAATGTTGTTTTACTATAGTTGAAAAATTTACATTTTTTAATTTAATTTTTTTTGCAAACTTTTTAACGAAGCTAAAGGCTAGTGAGCTGCGCAAAGGAAGACTTCTTGTAGTTGTGAGCTTTTTCATTTATTTCCAATGCGTTTCGTCTCTTTCTGAGACTTCTTCAGGGAATGAATACAACTAACAAAGTATAGCATATATATAACACATTTGGTGCGTAAGTAAAACTTCCAATAGAAGTGAATAATAACTTAACTGTACTGCAAACAGACGTTATAAGAAACCCCTCAACACATATGTTATCGCGTGTTGTTATTTTTTGGGGTGCCATACGATAAGCCCTAATCGTACTCCTTTTGAGTCATTTCTTCCCGCGAGCAATTAGAGGTGAGCTTACATTTATGTGCTATACTAGACTGAAATGTCTCCACTTTTAAAGCTTTTAGCGAAACGCCTAAGAAATTCTGGAAGCCCCTCCGGCCTTGCGGTTACCCAGTTGTATTTTTACTTCCTGTATTCAGAGGGGTTAAATACAGTAACAGAACTAAATGGCTTTCACGAAAACGCAAATCCCGCAACAGTAGAATGGTAGTTTAACTCTAATTTAACTGTCATCATGCTAGCTAACATTAAGCGGGTCATCCAGAGACATTCACCAGACTTGGACTGTATCGTCAGTTGTACATGTGCTGCTACTTTAGTACATATGTTAAATAGCATGTTTTATGGGAGCCATATGATTAGCACTAAAAAATCGTATGGCCCCCAAAATATAACAAAACGTTTCTTATAACGTCCTTTTGCAGCATAGTTAAGTTTATTATTCACTTCTATCGGAAGTTTTACTTACGCACAAAATGTGTTGTATATGCTGTACTTTGTTTTATTTAGTTGTATTCATTCCCTGAAGAAGTCTCAGTAAGAGAAGAAACGCGTCGGAAACAAACAAAAAAGCTTACAACTACAAGAAGTCTTCCTTTGTGCAGCTCACTCGTCTTCGTTAAAAGATTAAAAAAATAAAATAAACTTTATTTATTTTTATAAACCATTCTCTTGGCCAGTGAAACAAGAGCCGATGCGTCTGCTCCCCGCAAGCTATATTTATTCAGCGGTTTGAATAGGCACCGACGGCCGACGAAACGCGTCGGCTACTTTGCTGATAGAAGTCGCCTACTTTTTTTCCAGAAAGAAGAAGTAACTAGTTTGAATAACGTTGTAAACAAAACACATATCATAAAATCTGAATGAAACGTAATTATGACGTGCTTTCCCTAAAGGCTCACTGGTTTTACGTTATGCTTTAGCCATGTGAACGCTATAGTTCAGTCAATTTTTCACAGTTTGAAGCAGAATATGTTTACGTGTAAAAGTAGGTAATCTAGTTTTCACCACTTGCTCATTGGTGGTAAGAATGGGTTGTATAACTGATAAATCGAAAGGTGGATGAAAGCTAAATTTTTTAGAATAAAAAACACCCTCTTTTATCCTCAGTTTAGTCCCCAGAACGCTGAAAATCGCATTTTAGGGCTTTGAAATTTCAAACTTTTCTGGGGAAGCACACCCCCAGACCCCCTCCCCCACCCTAGAAAAAGGGGACTAACGGCCCCTTATTAATACCGTCGGTTACTCTATTTAAACCTGCTGGCTATTTCATTTTTTATTGAAACCCCTGCTTAATACAATGTGTTAGTTTGCATATCTAATATAATGTCTTGATGATAAAGCAACCATTTGTGATGGCGGCAAAAAAAATTGAACATGTCTGGCAACCAAAGCTTCCTTTTAAAAAAAGATCCATAAAATTTACAGGGAAAATGGTTGATGTTGGTAATGTCTTTTGGCATGCAACTCCTCAGAGTGTAACTGGATCTTTAATGAATCATAATGGCATGTAGCTCCCATGGTGCATGCACTATCCACAGATCCATCCAAAAGCTGTTATTCAAAGGATGAATAACTGTTCAGTGTCCGTAATATTATCTTTATTCCCTTGATCTTGTAGTATGTGTCATTTTGTTGTATAAAATGCGTGTTGCTGCTCTAGGGTTTCCTTCACAAGATTCCGATATCGCTTTGATCCTTAATGTTTAAATCTAAATTCTCATTTTTGCCCCATGCAAATCCCCCATAATAAACTCTAGGTCTGTTTGCCTTAAATTCTGTATAACTGATTGTTTTTCAATGCTCTCGGGAATAAGGAGTCCTCCCTGGAGCATTTGACAACAATAGTTTATACAAGAAAAGGGAAGGGAGGGGGGGGGACAAACAGAGTGCATTGTTGGGTATTCGAAAATTGAGAATACCTGTAGATTTCTCATATAGAAAAAGGAATGGGCAGAAGTTGTTAGATTTGGGCTCCCATATGAGAGGGGCAGGTATGCTTGGCCGAAATTTTGAATTAAACCCTGAAAGGAGACCAGTCTGAGCATGGCCCAACCTTTTTTTGACCCCTTAAAGAGATCATAATTTTAAAACACAGACAAAAAAGGCAGCGACTTTTAATGATGGCAAAGACATCATCATTGAATATGTTTACCCATACATTGTCTTAAACCCTAAAAGAGACCACTACTGCTACATATAATGGCGTTTTGCCTAAAACACCCTAAGTGTGGCCAAAATCACCCCTTAGCGAGACAATGAGCACCCCTGTCCCTTTCATATGGGAGTCGCCACCCCCCCCCCCCC